TAGTTATGCCATTCGGCTTAACTAATGCGCCCGCAGCCTTTATAGATATGATGAATAGGAAATGTAAGGAATATCTTGATAAATTCGTTATTGTATTTATCGACGATATTCTTATATACTCTAAAACCGAAGAAGAACATGCAGAACATCTTCGTCTGATACTGGAATTGTTGAAAAGAGAAAAGATGTATGCTAAAATGTCCAAATGTGAATTCTGGTTAAGAGAAGTTCAATTTTTGGGTCATGTTATCTCAGAAGCCGGAGTACAAGTAGATCCAATGAAAATAGAAGCAGTTGACAAATGGGAAGCTCCAAAGACTCCGTCTGAAATTCGTAGCTTTTTGGGTTTGGCAGGTTACTACCAAAAGTTTATTCAAGACTTTTCTAAGATAGGCATGCCATTAACCAAATTGACTCGAAAGAATGTTAAACTCCAGTGGGAAAAAGAACAACAAGAAGCTTTCCAACTATTAAAGGATCATCTTTGTAGCGCACTAGTGTTGACTCTACTAGATGGATCTGAAGACTTTGTGGTATACAACGATGCTTCAAAGTTAGGATTGGGATGTGTTTTAATGCAAAGAGGAAAAGTAATCTCTTATGCATCAAGACAACTGAAAGAACATGAAAAGCAATATCCAACTCATGATATGGAGTTAGCTGCAGTGGTTTTTGCACTGAAAATCTGGAGGCATTATGTTCTGGGAACAAAATGTCAGATTTATATTGACCATAAGAGTTTACAACATTTGTTTAACTAGAAAGATTTGAATATGTGACAGCGTCGGTGGATTGAACTTGTTAATGATTATGACTGTGAAATTCTTTACCACCCAGGAAAAGCCAACGTGGTAGCTGACGCTTTGAGTAGAAAGGAAATAAGTGGAACCATCAAAACTATAGCAATGAGAATGAATTTGATTCCTGATATTCGTAAGGAAATTCAGAAGTGCCAACAAGAAGTTGTGAAAGAAGAATTTGTTAAAACAGAAAAGTTGGGTAAAATGATCTCAACCTTGGAACAAAATGATGAAGGACTTATGTGCTTTCAAGGGCRAATCTGGGTACCACATTTTGGARATATCCGAARTAKGATATTGAATGAAAGTCATAAATCCCGATATTCTATCCATCCAGGTACCAATAAGATGTATCGAGATTTAAAACCTTTTTATTGGTGGCCATGATTGAAAAGAGATATAGCTCAATATGTGGAACAGTGTCTGACATGTTTACAGGTTAAGATTGAACATCAGAAGYCGTATGGAAGTCTTCAATCGTTAGAGATACCTGTATGGAAATGGGATCACATTACCATGTATTTTGTTATGAAGTTACCTCGAACTCTAAAGGGGTATGACGCGATTTGGGTAATTGTTGATCGTTTATCTAAATCTGCACATTTTCTACCAATAAGAGAGAAATACTCTTTAGAAAAGTTAGCGCAGATTTACATCAAAGAAATTGTTACCAGAYACGGTGTTCCATTGTCTATTATCTCTGATAGAGATAGTCGATTTACTTCCAAGTTCTGGGAAGGACTACAAAAAACTTTGGGATCTGAAATTCGGTTACGTACAGCCTATCATCCGCAAACAGATGGACAAAGTGAAAGAACTATCCAGACTCTCGAAGATATGTTGAGAAGCAGTATTATTGACTTCGGGGGATCATGGGAGGATCATTTGCCATTGATAGAGTTTGCATATAACAATAGTTATCATTCCAGTATTCAAGCGGCACCATATGAAGTATTATATGGACGTAAATGTCAAACGCAGTTGTGTTGGAATGAAGTGAGTGAGAAACAGTTGACAGGTCCTGAAATTGTCCAAGAAACTTCTGAAAAGATCGAACAAATTCGTGAGAGAATCAAAACAGCACAAGATCGTCAGAAAAGTTATGCAGATAATCATCGAAAGCCGATTGAGTTTGATATAGGTGATTTTGTGATGTTAAAAGTTTCGCCATGGAAGGGTGTTGTCAGATTTGGGAAGAAAGGAAAGCTCAGTCCAAGGTATGTAGGGCCGTTCAGAATATGTGAGCGAATTGGGCCAGTAGCATATCAGTTAGAGCTGCCTAAAGAGCTGAGTCGGATTCACAACACTTTTCATGTGTCGAATATGCGGAAATGTTTGGCAGATCCGAATCTAGCTATACCATTACCAGAGATTCAATTAGACAGTAAGCTGAATTTTATAGAAACACCAGAAGCCGTAATTGATCGAAAGATCAGGGTGTTGAGAAACAAAAGAGATAAGTCTAGTTAAAGTTCAGTGGAAGTTTCACAAAGGACCAGAAGCGACATGAGAATTGGAGTCAAAGATGAGATAAGAATACCCATGGCTTTTTGATTAAAGGAATTCCGGAATGGAATTCTTTTAAGGGGTGGATAATGTGATAACCAGATCCTGGTTATTACCCAAGGTAAATGATATGTGATTATTTGATTAAATAATTACATGATAGCATGATAATTGATACATGCCAGTATGAGAATTTGAGTATTAATTGGTTAAGTGTATATATATATATATATATATATGTGTGTGTGTGTGTATATATATATATATATAAATATATTACATATGCATGGAGTATGAATTTTGTGTATGAGTGTGCATGTATAAGCATGAGGTGGAAAGGGGAAGGGAAGGCGGTTAGCTGACCTTCCATATTTGGAGGTATAAATAGGGGGCTTAGCCTCTTCCTTTGATTTTCCTGCCATTTTGAGAAAGTTGAGAGAAGAGTTGACCGGATTTCCAAAGAGAGATTTCAAGTGTTTGGTGATTCAAGTTGATTTCAAGCATTTTGGTTTCAAAAGTTTATTAAGGTGAGTGGTTTCTAAACTTTTGCATAAAATTAATACTGGTTTTATTTGTATGTTTCATGTTATAATTCTCTAGAAAGAAACCTTGCATATTTTGTTTAAGTGTTTATCCGGACAAAGAGTGACCGGATAAGTATTTAAACCGKACAAGCCTTGAGCGGCTTATTGTCCGGATTAGTTAAACTGGACAAGCCTTGAGCGGCTTATTGTCCGGATATTGATTAAACCGGCCAAGGGTGGTGTAGGGTATTGTCCGGACTTGAATCCGGACAAAGATTGTTAAATTATATTTAAGTATTGAGCGGTGTAGTTAAACCTGTCAAGTCTTGGGCGGGGTATTGACCGGACTTGTATCCGGACAAAGATGATTTTTGCTTCCAAGTGTTAAACCGATCAAAGCTTATGCGGTATGTTGTCCGGACTTGATATCCGGACAAACTTGATTTTAATCTTAAGTGTTTAAGACCGGATTGTTGACCGGATTGTTGACCAGATTATTGACCGGATTGTTGACCGGTTGGTGTTGAAAATATATTTTGATAGAAATTATTATTTTATCATAAAGTGAAGTTTTGTTATAAATGATTTTGGATTGATAA